TTCGCTCTGAGAGATGAGCGAGAGAAGAAACCAATGTGCTCGTTTGACGTTGTGGTGTTGTTTTTCCAGCCGCGACGCACACAGTAGGAGTGATTGTACTCCATGATACGTTTCCCTCCCACGTATACAGCAGTCCTGCACCATAGCAGTGCTGTCGTAATGTTCAGTACTGTTAGTATAGCTGCGCATGAAGGATTGTGTGAACGTACGTCTGTAGTCGTGTCGTTTGGTTGTAATGTATCCATACGCGGGAGCAGTGTTTACACATTGAGAGTAGATCTTTTAAGACTAACGCGTTCTGATTGGTCGGGCGTTGTTCGGCGTAGGTTCTGGCGGCCGATTCCTCTCCAGCGCCCTCTCCCCGTTCCGCATTCCGAGCACGCGGCGCAGCCGCGTGCCGCCTAGTTCGCGGCCGCTAGGCCGTGCTTTGGCCGTGGGTGAGGGTGAGGGTTAGGGTTAGGGTTAGGGTTAGGGTAGATGTGGGGTGAGCAACCTAGCCTTGCTCGCGTGAAGAACCTAGCCTTGCTACGTTCAACATCGGTTAGTCCTAAAGAGTTACTATCAAGTGTAACCGAGGCTGATATGCGGAGGAATTGCTGCGGTGTATAGGTCTCGTATTTCTGTGGTCGACCTAGCTCTTGGTGGACTCTTTGTGTTGCAAGGGGTGGTCTGGGCATCTCTGCTATCCTTGCCATCTCGTGGATACTGGCGAATGGTCTTTAGCTCGATGGTCGCAAGCGCCGTGTTTCAGTACAGCATCATAAATTTTGTTCTTCCGCCGGGTTCGAGGACAACGGCTACCACTCACTGCTGACTCTATGCTGCTGCACTTGTTTCTGCGGCAACAAGCTCTCTGAGCCAAAATAGTACGGGACTAGCGTCGGTGGGCGTCAGCCTCTGCTGCCACAATGTGCTGCAATGTACCAGCGTGTCATACCGGTATACACCCCACCAAGATCCATCAGAGCATGTGTGTGCGATTTCGGTTTGATTTCGGCTTCTATATAGTGCCCCTTACCGAAACTCACTGAAATATACCACGCCATTTTAAGGAAGCGGGGAACATAGTCGCACTTGTAGACTCGACTGGGCATGCTGCACTGGTGGATCGAACATTCCCAGATTCCTGCAAGTATGTGGCGCGGATGGTCCACGCAAAAAAATAGCTAAAGCTGAAACGTTTCTGTTCCTGACAACATCTTACGCCGATTTCCCAGCTACAAAGATAGGCCACCTGCTGACGGAATTCTAAGCGCCCGTCAACGAAGGACCACCGGTCTCTTGAACCACCTACCAGGCACCTGGCATATAGCAATCCCAAGGGATACACACGTCGAGAAGAATGAAAAACACCTTGTGCATTCCTCTCCATTATCGATAGCCCCCCCTCTCCCCATGGACCGCGTTCTTCGCGAGACTAATGAGTTTTTGAGGGAATATTACAGGGATGGAGGTACGCAGACCGTACACCGTAAGCATGACATTCCCCATTGCACCCTTTATTCAACACGTTAACTTCATCGACAAAAACTGCGAAGGCTTTTGCTCCCCGTTCTGAAGGGGCGGTTTCATTCAATCGTTGAATAGAGCCTTTACGCAGAAAACAAAAATACCAAACAATGCTACAATATTTAGTACATTGTTGTCGAGCCTTGTACACTTCCATCATCATGGGCTATGAAAAATGCCTCCAAGAAAAATTCAAACAATGGTCCAGCATTGAGCTGGCCAGACAAAATAGTCTCCTCACTCCCATCCCTGACAAGCATGCCTCTTCATATTCGACATCCAGAAACGATAGGACGCACTGGTACACAATTCCGATGGCAAGTCCATGGAAATGTTTCCAAGCGGGAAAAGCAGGGTACTCCTCGGGAACGGTTTTTTTGCCGGGAACAGTTTGGGCGGTACCTCGATCTGACGGGAACAGTTTAACGGTACGCCGGTTCTGTATTTTTTGACGGTACCGCCTTCGGCGGTACCCGGTTTTGCAATTTTTGACGGGAACTCCGCCGCCGGTTCGCAATATGCCGGTACCGCCTTCGGCGGTACTCGGTTTTGCAATTTTTTACGGGAACGCCGCCGCCGGTTCGCAATATGCCGGTTCCGCCTTCGGCGGTTCCTGGTACACCCCAAATGGCGGTAAACGACAGGCGGTAGTACGATTCGGCGGTTCCCTAGCGCAGGCACTTTTTCTTTGGCTTCCGGACAAACGGCAAACCTCTCTCCCGTCAAAAAAAGAAAAATAAATGCGCTTCACTGAATGAAACCGGATCGTTGGCACCGACCGAATTGCCCGAAGCAGGCGCCCCCAAACCAGCAGAATCAGCACACGCAGCTCCTACACTACGAGGAGTATCACTGAGACTCGTGTCTTATCTGCTCATTGTTATGCTGGACCACACGAGCTGCGCTGTGGGCACGGGTGCGTGTCTGCGTGCAACCAGCCACGCACCACGCATCACGCATTGACCGTCGCGGGGTTCTACCGAAAAGGAACCAAAACACCAGCCCAGAACCACACACACGCACACACAAATAGGAAGTAAAAAAAGTAAAAACAAAAGCAAGTAAAAAAAAGAAGTCGTCGGTGAAGTTTGAACCTCAGTTCTTCTAAGTGGACATGTTTTATTATTATGATTAGACTAGTGCCCATCCGCGGTACCATTTGAGCGGTACTAGGATTTGCCGGTAGCTTTTTGCCGGTACCCCGATATGCCGGTACTGTTTAGGCGGTACTGTAATATGCCGGTACTTTTTAGGCGGGAAACGGTTCTTGGTTTTTCGCCGGTACCTTTTAGGCCGTAACACGATATGCCGGTACTTTTTGGGCGGGAAACGGTTCTTGATTTTTTGCCGGGACCGCCTTCGGCGGTACCCGGTTCAGCGAATTATGACGGGAACGCCGGCGAGTACCGGATCCGCCTACCAACCCCGGGAAAAAAACCCGGGAAAATTCCCCAGGATTACTCTGAAAAAAATGACATACCACAAAAAGCCAAAAAAACGAGCTCAAGGCAACCAATTAAAAACTCAACCAAACACGTCACGAAAGCAGTGATAAAATATACTCGTCAAGGGAAACAGCATGATTCTACAATGTTATGCGTGTGCTCGATCCCATCCAATTCGGCGTCGCCGGCCCACACATATTTCGCTGTGGTACATGATCAACGCATCATCAGCTACTTCTTCCCTCGGCGGGGTTTCTTCTGGATCGGCGGCGGGGACTCGTGACAGGCCCGCCCCCGCCCCCCCCCTGCTCCTTTCGCTTTTTCCCGCCACCGACACCCCTCTGCTGGTTCGCGATCCTCACGTCGGTCTCTCGGAAACATGCCAGCAGGAAGGAGCACGCGTCGTGGATAAACTCGTCTGCCTCGGAGGGGTCCAACTGCCGAGAAAACACAGGGCGGTCGTGCATGCCGTAGTCGTTAGACCATTGACTTCGCATCCCTACGAAGCCGGGACGGAGCACGCCGGGTTCTCACCGGACCAGGCTCTCACATCACCAAGCGCGAAGCGCCGTGAGGTATTCGGCGAGTCGCATGAAGGGTGCGCTGCATCCTGCTAAGGGTGTTCGGCATCTTGTGCTTACTTCCTTGCGTACGGATGACAACTGCGTATGACTTAATTTATTTTCTGGTGCTTTCACTTCCAGAGACAGTTGTAAGCACTGTGTAACTGCCTCGAGGGTGCTTGGCCATTTTTACACAACGTGGTGCGATTATCCCCGTTGCGCGGAGTGCCGGTTCTCGACCCCGCACAACACCATCTACTCGACCACCATTTATGGCTACCGCAAAAACAAGAAAACTAAAGGCAAAAAAAAAACGGTAACCTGGTTGCCGAGCTCACGAAGTGATCGGCTTGTTTTACAACATCGCTGTCAAGCGACGAAAACACAGGGGGGGGGGGGGGGTCACAATTAATGTGGGTGCGGGGGTGTACTCATATAAAGGAATATGTTGGTAGGTCATTGAGCTCGCATCCCTGCAATCCCGCGACGGAGTGATAAGCCGGGGGGTTGCCAGCCCAGGCTAGGTTTGACGAGGATGAACGACAGGCTGGTTACTATCCTTGTGCGTATGTGGGGGGATTTAGATAATTGGATTGGAGGGGGGGGGGGGGGGGGGGAAAGGGTCCGGGTCTCCCACCCACGGGAACGGGATCCGAAAGCCTGGTAACCCCCTCCTCCAAAAAAAAACGGGGGGACCGGGGGGGGCCCCCCCTTTCCCCAAGGGTATTTTGGGGCCCCCCCCCCCCAACAATTTTTTTCGGGTGGTTGGGGGACTGAAAAAATTGAAACAAAAATGGGCCTTTACCAAAAGGGAAAACCGGAACGGGGCCCGGGAAAATGGGCCCTATTACTAAATCAGGGGGCCCCCGAAAAAAAAAAAAAATTTTAAAAGGTCCGGGCGGAAATTTGGGTTTTTTCCCCATGGGGTGGCCGGGAAAATTGCCCCCCCCCTTTCCCAAAAGGGAAAGGTGTCCCCCCCCGAAAAAAAAACCAAAGGGGGGTTCCAAAAAAATTTCTTTCCAATGCC